GAACCTGTGCAACTATCACTTGAAAAACTGACTATATATATATATATATGACGTGTGTCCTTCCCCTTGCGAGCGTCAAATTGGGAAATCAAATGCGCCCTCATGGAACGCATTTGCAGCCAGTTTGACCATGTCCATGTTGGAGAAATCCGAAATTTGGAACTTGCGCGATGAGCCACCAATCTTCACAGTGCACCTGGCAGTGAGTTTGGTTTGTTGGTGTCCCAACTTAGAATGACTCCCACGATGTTGTTCACTCAAATGAATAATACATATATATATACATGTACAAATATATATATAGATACATTGAAACGCATGCTGAGGAGCCTTATTGACACAAACTTAGAATGCCCCCAGCAATGCTATTTTTTTGACGAGTTTCCATCGCTGAAACTCTTTGATGTCAGGGTGGAGCTTGGTCTTTTCAATGCACCTTCACCAGCGTCCAGAAAACAATATGCATTTGTACATATACGCGTGCAAAAACCAAAGGAACACATGCCAAAACTGTGCAAACAACTGAAACCATTTTAGTCAGGGTGCTTCTCGCTACCTGCTTTGGGAAAACTTGTGCTGGAACATGGTTGAACCACCTCTTCCTGACTTTCCTCTTCTGGCGGCCCCTCTGCCGGAGGAGGTAAAGGAGGTAGTGGACCTGCTACAGCAGGATGTGAAAGCCCTTTCGAAAGCACAGCCTTTCGAAGAGCATCTGAGACATCTAGCGATGCCATGGCGCTGGATCTACGCCCCCAAATTGATGACACGCAGGTGAACTGACAGGAGCCCGCCACAGAAAAAAGTATTATAAACGTTGTATATTATATATATATATTCACATGCATGTAGATGTGTGCTCGTATTCATTCCAGGCTTGCAAAAGGGCCCGAAAGCATGCAACCTATGTATAAAATCTGCGTGGCAGTCCCCTTGATTTGATGCGCCCATGCCCTGAACCGACAAGAATGGCAAGGGATGCAGCGAGTGAAGTGCTTGACAAGACCCAACACTGCTAACATCTGCATAAAACATCATAGCGTCGGACTCGGACTGAGCCTCAGAATGCCCGTTTTGAAAAGACTTACACCCGGCAAGATGACCCAAAAGCACGCTCAGTCACAACTTGAATTTTGCAAATTTCACCGTGTGCCGCAAATTTTGCAACAAAGCGGAGAAGAAATGCTCTCTGTCACTCTCTGTATATATGTATATAAATAACAGGTCATGCTAAGTTGTTTTGATTTACGTTAAATGCACGCAGAAGGGTGCGTCAGAAAGGTACTCCGCGTAGCACAAATTTTGACCATTTTCAAGCTTTTTTACATATTTTGCTCAAAAATGTCCTGATTTTGAGGGTCATGCCAAGTTGTTTTGATTTACGCTAAATGCGTGCAGAAGGGTGCGTCAAAAAGGTACTCCGCGTAGCAAAAATGCTGACATGCCAAAAAGGCCATTTCGTTGCATATACGCGGCAAATCGGTGAAATTTGCAAAATTCAAGATGTTACTACGCGGACTTTTGGGGTATCTGGTCGGGTGTAATTTTTTCCAAACGGACATTCTAAGTTTCAGGCGGTCGCTATATATATACATATAATATTCGCCCCTTTTTCTTCTTCGCGATTCCCGATCACTGCTGTCTTTGCTGACTACTACCTGAGCGACCTTACTAGATGCTAGCTGTCTCACAGAGGAATGGTGTTTTGTACATGTGCATGTACATGTGTATGCATATAGTATTAATATATATATATATATATATGTGTGTGTGTAAGCGTAAGCCGGTCGCTCATCCCATGCAGGCTCATCTTCAGAGCCATCCTATCACATTCACAGCGCCAAACATGAACCCATCAAGTGCTCATGTTTGATGCACATGCACTTTGCACTCGCCGGAGCTGGCCCTTCCACATGGCATCACTGGGATGCTGATCCACGTAGCATTCCAGTGTAGCCTTGATAGCCAACAACAGTGCGTCACGTTCTGTGCCTCAGTGAACACCAAGGCAGGCGTTCTAAGTTTAGGAAACTGACACGGCGTTTCAAGTTTCAGGGGACACCCAAAGAGCTTCAAAATCCCAAACTCTCAATGGAAATCTGAATCTAAAGACCTTCACAATCACCCCAAATCCCCATGAACACAGCGTAACTTCCACAGGAACCTATATATATACATATTTAAAAATAGAATGCCCTGCAGAATCTAGACAATGTTTGCGCAGCCAAAGCACGGCCAGTCGAGCCGCCCCAGCAAAATCCAAGGCCAGCACGGATACCAGGGAAGAACCCTTGCCAGCACTGTGTAGATTTGTGGTAGCTCAGGAAGACTCCGCGCAGGTGATTCGGAATCAAAGCCAGGCCAAGCTCCTCCAAAGCTTTGAATGCATCACGGTGCATGAAGTCTTTGACTTTAGCCGTTGTGCTGGAGACAGGGAAGAGGTCCTCATCCTCTGTGTCTGCTCCCCACACTTCCAGCTCACCCTCAGCGTCACACAATGCTTCCACTGCCTCAATCTGAACGGCCTCTTCTGCGTCGATCTCGGGATGCTGGTCCTCATCGAGAAGGCCCCACTCGTATGCTTCGGCAACATCCTGGGACACACCTTTGTCAAGGCCTTCAGGCAGCTGATCTACATTGCAAGGCTCCCCTTGCAAAAGACTCAGCTTCTTGGCTGCGCCGGTCCCTGCCCTCAAGTCCAAGCTTCTCTGCATCCACGATGACATGCAGGCTGAACATGTGTTGGTTGATTTCTCGAAGATCCTGATGGCTTCGCACCTTGCGAACCTGGCATTGCTCTCATCTCGCTAGTGTTCGCTCGAAACTCCTCATACGTTTTGCTTTGATGGGCAGTCAACTTGCCATCTTTCTCTGCCAGCAGCCTGTTCCACTTCACAAGCTCCTCTGAGAATCTGAGCAATGCAAGCTCAATGGGCCTAGAAACCCAACTTGGTATAAGCTGCCTGGATTCTATGCAATCTCCTTCTTGAAGACACCACAGGTAGGCAGTCTCCCCCTTCATGATGGCATTCCTTTGCGCGCGCAGCTCCTCTACGACCTCCGGATTTGGCTGCGTGTTAGGCACCTCATTGAGATGCACGAGTGCCCTCAAGGACCCATCTGATCCCTTCAAATCATGGTTGACCTGTTCCATGTCGCCTCAAGGGAAACGGACAAATGATTGCAAAACAACATGAGGGAAAGCTGAACTGAAACGCTTGAAAAGTATATATATATATATGAAGATTTCTGGAAGAAATGTATGTGCATATTTTGGGTGACTGTTTCAGGAATAGTGAATAGAGAGTGAGAGAAAGAAAGGTAAGGGCATTCCATGTTTCCATGATTCAACTCCAGCTTATGTCCGCCTCCAAATCGCCAGTTTGCAATGTTTTCTTTTGTCACGTAGCCGCGCCGGATCCATGCACCCCAAACAAGCCTTCCGTTCCTCAGGTTGAACTTAGAGCAACTCACATTGTTTAGCACTTTTGGGAAATGAGGCATTCTAAGTTTCAGCTGTGCACATACATATGGCTCTGAGATACACACATATCCCCTACAATAAAAAGTAGCTGCATCCACTTCAAAAACTACACCTGCAGCTTCATCTCCAAGCTGCTCAAAGCTATTCAAAGCACTCAGTGCCCAGGCATCAGCTCTGAGGGCATCCTGCATCGAGTACCTGTGCGAACATTGTACCTCTCTAACAACAGGTGCCTAGCAGTCTAACCCCACATGTGGCTCAAACATTCCAAATTCTGTTGTATATATGGTTATAGGTATTACTATTATATATATATATGTATATATATATATACACATATTGACGCGAGTGCGGCTGTCCATCCATATGGGGGCCCAACCTTGTCAAAGTTGAGCTCTGGATGCTTGTTTGTAGCTGATCTAGATCCAGGCGACCATCAAAGGAAGTGTTCCATGAAATGCTGGCCCGAGCAAAACTCCGCGTCAAAGTGTGGAGGTGGTGATGGAAGCCATCACACGGTGATCCGGCTGCCCAAAAGCCACCTGGGATCACCAGCCGACACCGCTTGTTGGCAGCTTGGGCGACACTTCCGTGGGTGGGAAGATTACCTCGCCCAAGACATTTGGAAGGGATTGCAAAGTGCCAAAGACATTGCCACCATCACTAGCTTTCCCTTACTTCATGAGTGAAGCAACATCAGATGGGCCAGCCTTTGTGGTGATTGCAAGTGCTTGCGCAGTAACCTGAGTCACAGGCAGGTCGCGCAAAACCACATCTTCAAACGATATACCTACTACATGTGTTCGGCATACAACTTAGAATGCTGTCATTCCTCCACGCAACATCATCAATGCTGCCTTGCCGATAGCCTTTGGCTTGCATTTGGCTCAGCCACTTCAGCCCTGCTTGCACTGACGGAAATTCCTTGGTAGAAGTCCCCTTCTCGTCCATGAACGTTGCAACAATCTTGCTCTCGTTGTGAGCAGCCAGCTTTAGGGTCGCACTTGCTGAAGGAATCTGAAGGAGATATCTCCGCCAAAATATCTTCCTCAATGGAACCTTGAGTTTGTCCAACAACTTCATTGAAATAAATATATAAATATATATATATATACACCTATGGCCCTACTGAAACTTATCAACTTAGAATGCCTGCCCTTCTTTGGGGGTTCAAAACATAATATTTCTGTCAACAAAAGTGTTTTTCCAACTTCCAACCTAGACTAGTTTCAGGGCAATCTAGGCTTGGAGACACTGATTTAAGCCAAGGAGCGCACAGATTTAAAGCAACAGGCAGCCTGGATATAGCTTTTTTGATCAGCTATGGTCCTTCCCTTCAGAGTGATCCCCGAAGACTCCGCCCATGTAGTCCGCTCCTATGTACATGCCGCGCTGCTTGGGTTAAAAGAAATACGAGAAACCACTTCAGAAACAATTGGTCTATCTTTCATTTTCTTCAGGGAGAGGGGCACTGAAGGAAGCAGGGCAAGGGATAATTTTAACCCATGTCCTTCCCCTTCTTCAATTCAAATTGGGCTAGAACCTTGCTACTGCTCTTCTGGAACTGGACTGCAGCAAGCTTGGCAATGTCCATGGAGACATAGTCGTTCGCTTGGAATTTGCGGCTCGACGAGCCCACTTTCACAGAAAACCTTGGGTGGAAGCACCTCTTGGAATGCCTTTTTGTGAGCGCTCTGGCAGACATGCTAAACACAATACAAACCAGCAACACAAGAGTTCAACAAGAATGCATCGCAGCAGCCCGGTCTTGAGTGCCTTGATGTCCGAATGCAGCTTGATGTCTGAAGACCTCGTCCCGGGCTGCGGCAGGCAAACAGGTTTCAAAGGACAAACACCTCCCTCCAGGAAGGAGGTCTTTGGTGCCCCTTTCATGCATGGACACAGCAACTTAGAATGCCCCGCACATGAACGCATCCAGGGCCTACACCTAGGACATATATATATATATATGTATTAGATATATATATATATGTGCATATAAATAAATATGCACCCATGGTGTGCCAATGCTGTTTAGCTTCTTTCCAGCATCCCCATTGGCCTGTGCATCTGCAGCAGCCCTAGCTGAAGAAGTCCTGGGCTGTGGCGAGCAAACAGGTTCAAAGTGAGCACATCCCTCCAGGATTTCATGCATGAACACAGCAACTTAGAATGCCCCGCACATGGACACATCCAGGGCCTACACCTAGGACATATACATACATATATATATATATATGATATATGCACCCATGGTGTGCCAATCAATGCTGTTTGGCTTCTTTCCAGCATTCCCATCGGCTTTTGCATCTGCGTGGCCACTAGCTGAAGAATTCCTTGGCTGTGCCAAGCAAACAGGCCTTTCATGCATGGACACAGCAAGTTAGAATGCCCCGCACACATGAAAAAAAACACTCGTATATACGCATATGCATTTATTGCATACACCCACATATATATACATGTCAAAACCAGGTCCCACACATGCTTCTGGCCACGCGGCTCCTCTTCAACATCTGGAGGATGAGCAGGAGCTGGCAAAGGAGGAACCCCCCCTGGTCCATCTGCCACCAGCACTTGAGTTAGAAGTTGAATTCCGCGTTCCAGCTCCATAGCCATAGCGTGCACAGGAACTGCAACGAACTTGCAATGCAGCCACGGGTTCCTAATATATAATAAATATATGCATATATATATATATGTATATTGATATATATATATATATATTGTTGTATATATAGAGCAGTATATATGAGCTGTATATATAGAGGTATATTCATTCAAAGTTAGGATACAGTGTTTCGCAGAATGAAAACAGCCACCCTTGAGCCTTCCGGGGCATTCTAAGTTTCAACAAATCTTTGATTACGGTAAAAAAACCAAGGGTTTGATCAAGTTTTGGTCTCTGCCACGGACTTTTTTGGACCAAAACCCTGTGTTTTTCCACGTTTTTGTGCTCTGACATCACTGCAAACAAAAAATCCTCCAAAAGTCCGTGGCTGCCACGGACTTTTGGGGACTAAGGCACTCCTCCAAAGTTTCCAAACGAGCATTCTAAGTTTCAGGGGAGGAATATAAGCACCAGTGGTTGTAGGCTGTCGGTCGGGTGCCGTTGGGGGCGTTGGATCAGCAGCCGGCTGAGCGGTGGCTGTGCTTCTCGATTGTCTCTGTCATGTTATTGAGCTGGGCAGCTGGGCTGGTGGGATTCCAACCGCAGTTTTAAGATTCTCAACGTATAATAGAACACATATACTAATTGCTCCCTGGGATAGTCATGGAACTGGAAAACCACCTGTTCGTAGACATGGTCATCCAACTGGCAATTTTCCACTTCCATGATTTTGCCATGTGTGGGCAGGTGGTCCAAAGTACATGTCACATATCGTTGATATTTGTATCCGCCTGGGCAACGGAATCATTGAAGTGGTGGACCTTTCCAAACAACCGTCATGTTCATTGCTGGCCATTTGTAGGACCCACTGGCATGAGTTGTGCAATAACCGAACTGATTACAATTATACAATGGAACCAAGCCCTCTCCAAAAGCCGTGGCGCCGTGAGGCAAAAGGAGGCGCGGGCGGGCAGTTTGAAGCTCCAGAGCCAAGGTAGGTTCAGGTGTTGGGGTGGAGTATGTTGACAGCTCTGACTGGGCGTGGCCAGGGCGATGGATTGAGCATTTTCTGCTCCAAGTCACCAGTTCAACCTACTGTAAGTATATCTCACTACAAATCGGACAGCTTGATGCCACCAAGGCGACTTTGAAACCAGCGGATGGAGGCGAACCTCCCCCTCCTCCATGGCAAATCCACTTTTCTGATGAGTACCAGAGACTTGGCTATGGCGCTAAGGAAGCACGACTGCGAGATACGCTTTATAGAAACCCCCGAATCAGGGACTCTTATTCAATGCTTGTATTGTGGGGTTTAACAGGCAGAATCTGCTTAGATGTTCAACCATCGGCTTTTGACCGTTAAAATGGCTCAGGCTCCAGTACTTCTGGAATTCTGAAACTGGTGAGTCTTTGTGGGAGCGGCCGGAGAAGTGGTGAGCACGACGAGAGCCGAAAAAAACAATTTGCAAAGGGCCATGGACATCATGCCGCGTAGACTGCAGCATGTCTGGACAGGACCACATATACTGTAGCTTAGAGACAGAGAGGCCTTGAAGCGGAAGAGGAAACTGCTTTGCCAAACGTGCAGCGTTAGAAGCAATTGTTGAAGCTCAGCACGCAGGCCAACACTTTCCTTGAAGGTTGCCGGGTTTGAGGATAAGGCCAGCTGCGGACTGCATGCATAATGAACAGAGCTCATGTCTTGTCACATTGTCATGGATATACTATGATATACACCGACATTGTGATTCCCGTTATTTGTTTTCCCTCAGTAGCAGTCGGGCAACAGAGTCCACGATGACAACAGCTTGTAGATTCTAGATTGTAGTTTAATTTAGCCACACGCACACTTTTCTGTGTACATATATATATATATTTATTTGGTTACTTCTGAAACGTTACTATGATCGCAGCATCTTCAGCTCGACGGCCGCTTTCTGATGCCATGTTGCTGCGCATCAAGCCGTCCGGAGCTCCGGAATTCGAAGTGGACGTGGAAGATGGTGCCACCTTGCAGGACGTGAAGGTTGCAGCGACCGCTGGCTGCGACATTGACCCTGAGCTCATGAAAATCATCTACAAAGGCAGGGCGGTCAGGGTGCGCGTGTGATGTTCAATGGTGATATGATATGTTCAGAAGATGCCTGTCTGACCTGCAGTCGAATAAAAAAAGGCAGATGGCCATGGACTTCTCACCAAGTAAAGAATTGTACGAGCATGAGCAATATGAAAGATTACCTTTCCAAGAAACGGCAGGCTATATACTTGCATTGCCCCACACGCCTTGCCGTAAACGCTTTAGTAACTTTAGTTCTCACTGATCACCGCCACTTGCAAAAGGGCTACAGTTACACTACTACTAGTTGGTTACTGTACCAGGTCACTGCGGCGACTAGTGGCGGCTACTAGTACTTTGATTCTAGTAAGTGACAAGTGCTTGTCTTTGAGGCCTGAGTTCTTGGCCTTACAGTGCCTTACAGAACCTTACCACCGCTCGCTACGAACTCTGCGAACCAAACATGCATTCAGTGTCAACTACCACGCTCGTTGCGTAGTCAGGCAAGGTATTGAAAGATGAGGCCGCGCTGGAGGGTTTGGGCATCCAGAGCGGGACCACGCTGCACATTGCCAAAGGCATCGCGCAGCCACGCGAAGCTGGATATGCCAATGTTAAAAGTGCAGAGTCTATAGAGATTCAGTTGAAAGGTCCAGGTCTTGATATCAGTCTTGCAGTTGGGCTCAATGATGCAGTAGAAGAGCTTCGACAATTGGCAGCTTCCCGTTGCGATCTTCAGCAGGAAGAAGTCCATTTGCTCCACAAAGGGAAAATCTTGAAAGATGGTGCCACCTTGGCCTCTGACGGGATTATCTCCGGGGCAGTCGTGCGCGTTGCACGGCGAAGTGGGCCCCAGCAACCCTCGTTTGAACCTGTGGTGCCGTCAACGCCTGAGCCAGCGGAAGGGTCTGCCATGCCGATGGCTTGGGGCAATAATGGGCCAATGGACTTGGCACAAGTTCGCATGATGGCGACCGCCATGGGCATTCCGCTGGATCAGGTACTTGCCAACATGCCGCACCAACAGGCCATGGCCCTGGCTCAGCAGGAGATGGCTCAGCTGCGACGGGCACCAGCGAACGAGAGCACTGCTGAGATGCAGGCTAGGTGGGCGAGGGAGGCTGCAGACATGGCCAGGCAGGTGCGTGCCTACTTGGAGCGAGAGGGTGAGCCAGAAGCAGACAACGATGAACTATTGGTCGACATATCTCGAACGCTTGCTGCCGCGCGGGAACGCGGTGCCCCGGTGCCCAATGCGGTGGTCTTTGTCGACCGTGCCGTGGCAAGGAGGCGGCAGTCGCTGGCACTGCAGCAGCGAATGGACAGGGAGATTCGAAGTGGTTTAGATCCAGAGATTGAGGATGCGTTTGCGGCTGCGGAGCAGTCAGTGAGCGCAGCTGCTCGAGCGCCAAGACGGCTTGGCGGAGAACCGCCACCTCCTGGTGCGTGATTCTTGAATCATGTTGAAATTGCAACAAGTGCGGCATTCGCGTCTTGTATAGGACTCGTATGGGCTCACGGAAGCATTGATGGTTCTATTCTGAGGTGTGCATTGAGTTGCATTATCACGAAAGGTAGCGGTTACGCTACCTGAGTTGTCTTTGCTTTAGCAATAATGTATTGGGGGTGGTGAAGTGGTCCCGTGCTTGATTTCGGTGGTGAAGTGCCCCCCCCCCCATTCGACTCCACCCTGCGCCGCGGAGAATTTGGTGGTGATCTGAGCAGAAGCAAGTAGCCAGCAGCAGGAGCAGCAGCAGCAGCAGCAAACCAGCAAAGCAGCAGCAGCAAAGCAAAAAGGTGGCGGCGCAGCAGCCGCAGCAGCAACAGCAAAGCAGCAGTTGCAGCAGTTGCAGCACAGCAAAGCAGAAAGCAGCAGCAGTGGCACCAGTGGCAGCAGCAAAGCACCAAAGCTCACAGAAGTTCGGTCAGTTTTTGGGTGGTTGCAGGAGCAGCAGCAGCAGCAGCAGGAGCAGCAAACCAGCAAACCAGCAGCAGTAAAGAAAAAAGGTAGCACCAGCACCAGCTGCAGCAAACGAGCAGCAGCAGCGGCGGCGGCAGCAGTGGCGGCGGCAGCAGCAGCAGCAGCAGTTGCAGCACAGCAAAGCAGAAAGCAGCTGGGTTGGGTGGCCATGATTTGCAGACGAGAGAAGCAATCGATTCTAGACTGCAGACCACTGCAAATTTTCAGATAGCGAAAGCGGAGGTCAAAATTCTGAACAAGGACATCGCTCATGGCTAGAGCTGCTTTATCCTGCTGCTGTTTGGCTGTTGCTGTTGCTACTTCCTGCTGGTTGCTGCTGTTGCTTGAGCCCTGAAGGCTGCTGCTGCTTTGCTGGCTGCTGTTGCTGAGGCGGTTGTGCATTGCCTGTGTTGGGGCTTTCGGGGCGGGCGCTGTTGGTTGCTTTCTTTCAATTTCTCCGCCCTCGGCCATGACAAGTCCCCACCCTCTTTCAATTTCGCCTGCGCAGCCCCCCCAAAACTGAACGAAAACCAAGGGTTGTGGAGGCCAAACTTGTGTGAGCTTTGGTGCTTTGCTGCTGCTGCTGTTGTTGCAGCCGTTGCTGCTGCCACTGCTGCCACTGCTGCTGCTACTGCTGCTTTCTGCTTTGCTGTGCTGCAGCTGCTGCTTTGCTGTTGCTGTTGCTGTTGCTGTTGCTGTTGCTGCTGCTGCTGCTGCTGCTGCTGCTGCTGCCACTTCTGCCGCTGCCGCCGCCGCCGCTGCCGCTGCTCGTTTGCTGCTGCTGGTGCTGGTGCTATCTTTTTGCTTTGCTGCTGCTGCTGCTGGCTGCTTGCTTCTCCCCAAAATCTTCCAACCTCTACCTTTCGTCCACCTCCGTCGCCTCAAGTTTTGGGTGCGGTCAATTTCCATGTTAAGAGGTTCACTTCTACCGCAGCTTTCGGCCAAAGACGTGGGAAGGTGGCCAAGCCACTGCCAGGCTGCCGGTGCTTTGGCATGATGCACGCATGTGTTTATATATATATATATTACACACTTTTTTTGATGTTAAGTACTGTCATACAAGTGTCAATTTGCTAGTTCCTTTGCTCTCAGCTTTCAGATATGGGTACAGACCCCTGCCGTGCAAAAGGGTTCCTTTATTCCTTCTGTTGCCAGGCCCATGGAGACTCTGCGGAAGCGTGCCAATACATGGCAGCACTCTGATTCAGCTGATCTGGGGCCAGTGATTTCAGGCCCAGGCCAGTCTCTGCCCATGAGTTGCTGTTGGAAACTATCCTGCGTCCACATGTAGTAGCTTACTTGTAGGTACTAGCTACCTAGCTACTACCTCCCACCTGTTCTACCGGCCTACCCCCCAGGGCTTTAAACAAAAATTGAAAAGTTTTGTTTGATCGTTTCAAGTTTGGCCCTTCTTACGAATGGCGGCAGGTCCGAAGACTCATCGCCGACGGAGTGCCAGCAGCACCAGCAGCGGCGCCGAATTTTCAGTGGCTTGACGGTCGGTGACGGTAAAAAAGAAGGGAGACAATTGGAGAGGGCATATGCACTGCTTCCAGGAAGGGGTATGCAGTGTGCTTCCTTGGCAATTTTTGGGCATGTGGCTGAGGAAAGCCCAAGGACAGTGCAGATAACATTTGGGCTGAGCGATGGGTCGGCCTGCACCATGCCTGCAAGAAGTGTGGGCTTCTGTTACTCAATTGTGACATGCCCTACATACTAGCATGGCATTGGTCTGGTGTGAGAGAGCTTTACATATCCTAAGTAACTTCAGTCCAGAGACCAATGGAGACCTTGTATTTCCCTACTTTGATGATGGATGTGCACCTGGAAGATCTTGCAGGTGTACAGGTTGATCAGCTGACCACCTTGGACAAATTCCGCAAAAAGATTGAGGCCTGCTGCCCTTGCCCAGCATTTTTGCCACAGGTCACATCGTCACCATTGCCACCCCTCTTGCTATTTTGGATAGCATACTAGAAGCATGTGGCAGTCCACATCACACCAGTCCCCATCCTGTCGATGCCTGGTCTGGGAAGAAAACACCTTCGCAAAAGACAACTCGGTGTGCTGGCATCAGAGCTCAGCTTGAGATTCCAACGCACCATGTTTGCAACATCCAGACCTTGAGTATACAAGTCTCGCTTCCATTGCTTGTTTTTCGAACTGTCCCGAAATTCCGAAACCTTGTTCCCTGTAGCGCAGATTTCAAATCTCATTTTTGGAGCCCAGAGTTTTGGCGCGTGAGAGTGACGGGGACCGCTGACTTTGTTACCCCAGTCTGCAGGAGGTGACCCAGATCTCTCGCAGGGCACAGCGGATCATTGTCAACAGCAGTGCTTTGTGCAGCTCCTTGGGCAGAGCTTGCGAGAACATGCCAGAACCAACTTGACACGTTCTGTCCTGGACGTTCCTTTCTTTGTAGTGCCTCTTTTTCTGTGGCTGATTTCCCACAGCACGCCAGAGCCGGACAGCATGACAGGTGATCAAGATCACATGCTGTTGTGACTTGGCCTAACCCTTGTAGGCTTCCTTTCAATGCACCCGCTTCAAGTATGTTTCTCCGAAAGTTTGCTCTTGCGCGGCATTTTGATCGTCGGGTTCATACACTTGGATGCACGGCTGGAGAAACATTTTCCGGACACTGCCAGAAGCTAGCGCTAAGATACGCGTGTCAATTTCCTCTATGAAATGAGGGGAGGATAACCCCTGATATAAAACGTTTAATACCCCCTCACTGGGAGTCATTTTATAGTGACTTGAGGTTTTTGTGCGGGTGGTTCACAAAGTCTTTCAGTTTTTAACATCTAAAGATTTAGGGTTACGGAGGGGCATAATTTTGGAACGCAGAAGATGAAAGAAGAAGCTTATCATGGGTCATTATTTTAAGCACCCCAAAAAGAGCATCAGAAAAAAATAACACATTGCATTTGCTGTTGTGACCGTGGCTCATATCAGAGCATCAACATTTTGGCGAGGAGCACGAAAGAGCTCTAAGACGTAGTAAAGAAGAAATGAGCACGCCGCAAAACAGACGTTAAAAATACAACAAAGGAAACATACTTGAAAAAAAGTTGCTTCGTTTCAGGTTTTGTACAAGACCCTGACGGATGATGTTTGGTTTGGAATAGTTGGCTCTTAGATAGGTCTGGGATTCCATTGAATTTCAGACATGATCATGGTTGAGGCTTTTTATAATGTCTCTACAACTAGTGTTGCAACTTTTTTAATGAGACTATCCAGGTGTGCAGCTGCATGGCCCATAACTACTTTCGCCAATGTGGCCACATGGGCATTGCATTCCTTCAGGGTCGTTGCTTTTTGTTGTGATGTACACTTGTGTATAAAATGACGTAATGAGCAAGTGACGTGAGGCACTTGGCTCAGGAAAACTGCAAGAGCAGAGATAGGCTCATTGTTAAGAGCTGACGTGCCCATCCAGCGCACAAACCAGGATGGCCTCTTGAAGCATCGCTTTCATGGTCACGCCATGCGGGTCTCAGGGGCTCAGTTTTGCGCGGCGATGGGCATGTCTATTGACCTCATTCAGGTCCATGGTCGCTGGAAGAGTAGTGCAGTCATGCGATATGTGCAGAGTGCCAACCTGGCTGTCACACCCATGATGGCGGCCAATGCTTTGCGGAGGCACCAGCAAGGTGGCGCAATGGGACCGACTGATCACAGCACCAAGCGGGCCCGAGTGGCGGCAAATAGTGGTTCCGACCAACTCACTCAGCTGTAGCAAAGGCAAGAGAGCAGCATGTCAGAACAGCTGCAAGAACTGAGACGAGCCGTGGCAATTCCCACTCAGACGCGCGAAATCGTAGCCGGGTGGCTCATCAGATTGCTGTGGATGAGCATCAGAACCGGCCGGTTCACGTGTGGATGGCCCTATGGGTTCTCTAGCTTTCGCCGTTTTGCAGGTGTCGAAGCCCCCATGATGAAACGCAAGAAATGTTTTGGTCGCGCAGGCCAGCAGGAGTCTGACACCTCTTCCTCTTCCGATACTCACTCTTCTGAATCCAGCAGCGATTCGGAGTAGGTTGGCAGTTGGCTCAACCTTTAATTGCTGCATGCTGCAACAACAATTTGATGATGCCAAGAAAGGGCGCCGGGCCAGAAGTCCGCGGCGTGTGTATTTTGTGTGGGGCTGTTTGAGGGGATTTGTAGTTCGAGAGTGACTTCACTCATGCGAATTGACTTTTGGATTTTCTTCTCCTACTGAGCTTTGCGACTCTTCAGTTTTTTCCTGATGTCTGATGTGTTTCCAGTGTTGACGATTTTGGGTACTCAGCATCTCTGGGCTGATGTGCAAACGGATAGACATCACCGAAATAGTTTTGACTCAAGAAAGGGTTTAGCAATGACGCAGCGTCCGACGCTGGATGAACTGCTGGACCAGACGTGCGCTCCTGACGATGTACGTCAGTACTTGGGCTCCAGAGGCCTTAAAATCTCTCGGCACCTTCGCCATGATTGCTAAGGACATCGATTCGTTGAAGAAGGTTATCATTCAGCCTTTGTTGTTTGGCTTCAAGAAAAGGAGCGGTCGAGATTATCATTGATGACGGGGACAAGCCAGTGATTGAGGCGCTCCTCATAACTGTGTGGCAAGAAGCCAATCGAGCTTGGCAGCATCACCTGAGTGAGGCTCCTGGCGGCCCCAAAACCGCTGCGCCAGCTCCGGCTGCCGCATCGGCGTCGACGTCGTCAGAAGACAAGGTTCCTAAACAGTTACCTTCCGGCGTGTGGAATGATGGCATTCGGCGTTACAATGCTGTCGAGATTCAACACATCGCTCGGCGTTTTCCTGAGCGGGAGTTGGTTGGGGCGCAATCCGTGTTGGCTCGCATGCATCACGAACATAGCAAGACCAAACTGTACACCCCAACGTACCTTGGAGAGATTCTTCAGGCACGATCGTTCACATCGACCGGGGATCCTAATCCTTTGGCTAAGCCAAAAGCCGATCAGCGTTCGACCTTAGTCATTGAGGGTGACAAGCTAGTTCAGGAGCCAGAGAAACTGTGGTCACCCAAATCTGTTCTGTCGGTCATCGATGCCATTCGGAGTATTCAATGGGCATGGATTCTTTTAGATTTCGGCCGGAGTTGAAGATAGTGGACTTTTGCGACTGGCTGTGTCAAAAAGCACGTTCGAAGCCTCAGAAGCCCGAGCAATTTCGGACATGGTATGAACAGATCTCTTGGCAGGTAGCCATACACATGCGAGTTGGAAAGTCCTTTGTCGAGGCAACCGAG